CCTCTGTAATATATTTACTGAGAAAAATGTTGACGTGTTCAATACTTATTTTACCCGCTGTAAATATATAAATGACGTCACGTAAATATGTGATTGCAATATATAAGGATATACTGACTGTTGTATTAATATAGGCAATAATGGCTTTTTTGAAGAATAAATGTTTTTTTCTAGTACAAATCAAATATAAACTTGCATAAATCTGATAATTTCGCTGCAAAATTTCTAAATATTGTGTCTGTTTACTGTTTAACGTACCAGATTTGGCATTTTCAAATAAAAACTGGAGCGGATCCCCTTCTCTGTCCTCCACCGGCTGTAGAGGACTGGGCAGTGATGGAGCAGGTGAGGTGGAGCTTGAAACAGTGTGACGAGAGGATGAAGAGTGTACATCAGGCTGCTGCAGGAGTTCATGCGGCTCCTCACTCTGCTCAGTGGTTCTGCTTTCGTCCTGCCGCTTCTCTTTCTGTTCTGAAACAGAGCTGTGAAGAAGACCAGCACGCRTTTACAAAAAAGAGTTAGCAGCATCTTGAAATCCACAAACAGCATGAAGTATTATTTTATCACTGAGGGATTTGAACRAACGTCTGTAATTTTCGAGACGATTGGAATCGATCAGGGATGCAAATAAACCTTAATGTTTTTGGTGCAAAATATTCAGTCAGGAGGAGTTACAATGTTTTTTTTTTTAATGATTGTTCGAGGTGGTGCAGAGGTGCAGAGTGATGGATCCTGGTGAGTGGACAGAGCAATTTTATCCACAACAGCTGCAATGATAGAGCCATGAGGTGGCCAATGGTGACCTTGACCACAATAGATTAATCTTTGGTCACCCCACAGGCCACCTGTATCATTTGAGAAATWTTTTCAGGCAATATAAAAAGCAGAAACCATATTTTCATCAACATATTTTGATCAGGGTGGCTGGTTTGCACATCTATGGCAGTGACCATCTTGGATTTTGAGGTGGCAGCCCAGTTTTCGATGGAGACTTTTCTTGTACTGAGATGCAGTGACACATCAAAATGGAGGTCAGTACCTCGCTTGTTTTTCAAATAATCCAKCTCAAAAGACCGGTGGATGGATGGGAGGTATTTATAACTTCCCACTTCGATCTGTGATGGGCAACAATAAAAACTGGCACTACTGAACCATGCTCCATCTGCAGGTTTAATAACAACATATAGATGCTTTAAGAAGTGAAATAAAGTCTACCTTGTAAATTCTTGTGTGAGACCAGGATGCACGTTTTTCAGAACTGCTTGAACCCAGTTGCGTCTCATCCCGGAGGTCATTGCACAAAGAGTGAAAGTCCCATCTTTGCTCTGTAGAAACAAAAACAATGGATTTGTTGGACAGTTTTGTGTTTAAAATGTATCATCATATTTTAATTGTTTTGAACTGCCTGATGAAGCAGATGTACCCTTAAATAAAATTATTTTAACGTGCAATTTGTTAGCACTCAAAATATGTGTTGGGGGTGACTCTCAGCTACTACCACACCAAATATTATCTGGGTATTTGTAAAATTAGGTATAGCTATTTTTTGTTTTCTAAGGTTAAAACAGCCMTTTTCAACTGTGTCGATGCCACAGTTTAATCTCATGTAGAAATACATCAAATTATTTTCTGAGTTTCATCTAAATCTAGTCTGTAATTGTGATGTARTTGGTTTTTGCAACAGTTTTTTTTATTTGACTGAATAGAAAGCAAACAGTACCTGCTTCTTTTCCTTGATGTCATGATGACATGTTACCGTGGAAACCCCGGAGGAGAAAGTGTGTGACTTAGTGGAGCTGCTCAAAAATATTAGCAAAAAAACAAAACAAAAACAAATCACTGACCATTTTTTCYTTATATTTTCAACAGAAATTATTAAAAAAATTAAAAAGAGAAAGACACTGAAACTGTGAAAAATTTAGAAAACAAACCTGATTTGCTCCACAGAGGATGTCAGCCGGACAGAATCCAGAATATTCCTCCCTGCAGCTTTTTCYTTTTTTACTTGAGAACTTGTGGTGGTTTTGTCTGGATCTGTTGGAAAGTCAGCAACAACATTAACGTCTTAAAAAGAGTATTTACTACAGAAGGATCATCATAGTTTTTTTATTTATTTAGGTGTAAACGATACTCTAACCCTGTTTTTTTTAAAGAACATCACATTTACAATGGATAAAACTTAAACCCATAAACGTGAGGATAATTACCAGGGGATCTTCGGTCAAGTCTGCTGAGCGAGCGGCTGCTCCTCATGAACGGAGCTGCAATGAGGGATGTGGACTGGAGGGATGAGAAACTTCGACTGGAGCGCAGGCGGAGAGCTGGTYTTGCTGGGTTGGAGGTTTGTGAGGCAGCTTGTCGGCCGAGGCTGACTCCACTACCAGCAGGACCCTTACCACCAGCAGCTGCTGAGCCTCCTCTTCTGCCGCCTTTCCCACTGTGGATGCAGGTTTTAGACGCACCGCTGGAAGCCTGCCTTCCTCCACTGCCTGCTGCAGAACCCTTTGAGAGAGAAAGATGTGCAAGGAAGTGTTAAAGAAAGTGTGACAAACAGATCAAACTTTGACATGTCAAACATCACACCTCATCCCATCTTCACATGCAATCCAACCCCTCYAGAGACAGACTTTTAATCCGGACAAGAGCTCTTAATTTGCTTAAGTGCCATCTGACCAACACTGTGGCCTCAAACTATCGCACACACAAACATACACACATACACACTTTAAACTTAATTACACTTGAGTATTTAAGAGCTATCAAACGGAGGCAGTCTGTTCCAGCCTCAGAAGATGCAGCCCCAACAACTGCAGAGGCCATGAATCTGTGATCCGACCACACAACAGAAAAATCAATGGTAGGAAGCCTGAGGAGTCCTGACGTGGCGATTTGTGCAAATTGTAACTGCACTCTGTGGATCTTTAAGACTTTAACCACGAGTTCAAAATCAGAGGATGACGTGTTCACATAAAATCTATATGTCAGTGAATTCATTCAGACACTTTTATGAGCTTCATGCGCTGAATGAAACCATTCAAACAGTAAAAAGACAACATTAAGTGAACCTGAACAGAACTAGCTGCCCCTATTGGCAAATCTTTGAATATTTTTCTTTAATATGGAATTTGACATATAAAATAAAGAGATTYGTGAGCGCTGACTGACTTCCTATCTGCATAAACTATTATAGCATGAACTGTTCCTATTTTAGACCCAATAAAATGTTTAAATGTTTTAAGCTCCAATTTCCACCCAGTTTAAACATTAATACTCACCTTTTCTCCATGTTTTTGTAAATGTTTGGTGGTCTTTGTGTTTACCAGTGTCTCATGCCACCTGCAATAAATAAAAAAGCACATAAATGATGYTAGAAACCTCAAACCTGTTACAATTGACCATTTTAGTCACAAATATTG